GGGTTTGCATGAGATCCTTGAAGGTAAATTACCCACCTGTACTGCAACATGACCTGATCAAATCTAACGGGTGTGTTACAAATGCAGTATATTGTGCAACACCCAGTCTCTTTGTGACTGGTGTGTGTGTGTGTGTGTGTCTATGGGATACAGACAGAATATTGAAATGGTGTCCACAACAGTGGGATCCAAGCCCTACCTTTTAAAAATGTGCAATACACGTCAAAGGCAAGCAGGGTTTCAATAATACCATCTTGAATTTTGTGGCCGTGCCCTAGGGCAGCATTTCTGACCCTCGGCAACTTTCAGATACGTGGACTTCAACTCCTTGCTGGCTGGGGAATTCTGGACATTAAAGCGGACACATCTGAAAGCTGCCAAGGTTGAGAACCACTGCCCTTAGGCCATGACACTGCTTTTCATACTGTATGAGGTGCATAATCCTGCCAGGTATAGATCCTGCAACATCCATTTTCTGGGGGGGGAAATTAAATTGTATGAATTGATTTAGAATGGTGGCCAAACATGAAACACATACCAGAAAATAAATTCTGCTATTGCAGTCTGTCTAGATATCAGGTTAAGGATACCGCAAAAATTGATTTTCTGCCGGATTTCTGGATCCAAGCACTGAATGATTTCGATGTCTGTCTACTTATTATTCCTAAAATGGCCACTGGCCATGCTGGTGAGGGAATTGTAGTTTAACAGTGGGATAAGATCCCAAAGGTGCTTTTCCAAGGGCCAATGGAATTGGGGTTTTCTTTGAAGACATTTCACTTCTCATCCAAGAAGCTTCTTCGGTTCTGAGGTGCTATTGCTAAGTATGCAGTGCATCGTCATCATCACAACTACTGCTGCACACAACTCCCGTTGCTACATTTAGAAAAAGGTACAACAGAGCATGAGAAAAAGTAGAAGAGGGCAACCCACATAATGAGGGACTCAAAGTACTTTTCTTGAGAGAAAGTTCATTCCCAAACTTCCGGTTGGCCCATTGGGGCCATTTCCCCCTCCCCCCCCTTCAGCCTCTGGAGGCTTTCTGGAAGCCCGGGGAGGGCAAAAACATCTTCCCTGGCCCCTCCGGAAGGGCAAAAAAAATCAGCTGGTTGATGCGCGCCAGAGCTGATGGCTGGCGTGCCAGCAAATATGGCTCTGCGTGCCACATGTGCCACAGGTTTGCCATCACGGTCTTAGGGCATTTCCAGACGATCAAAACAAGGAAGGAATGGTTGCTCTGATCACATTATAGAGCGTAATGCAGTCTATTGTATGATGACTGGAAGGTGTATTTCCCAGAGCAGTGGTGGGTTTCAAAAATCTTTAGAGCCTCTTCTGTAGGTGTGGCCTGCTTTGTGGGAGTGGCTTGCTGGCCATGTGACCGGGTGGGGGTGGCTTGCCAGCCATGTGACTGGGTGGGCATGGCCAACTTGTAAAATGTGGTGAAACTCACTTAACAACGCTCTTGCTTAGCAACCAAAATGTTGGCTCAAAAACTCTGGCATTTGAAGCACGCAAATCTTAAAACTGTCAAGTTACAAGACCCTTGCACCCCTAACCCTTTAGAAAAAAACAAAAACCTCAGGGGTGTTCAAACTGGACAGCTTTAAGACTTGTGGACTTCAAATGCCAGAGTTTTTGAGCCAACATTTTGGTTGCTAAGCAAGAGCGTTGTTAAGTGAGTTTCACCACATTTTACAAGTTGGCCATGCCCACCCAGTCACATGGCTGGCAAGCCGC